GGGGGGGGGACTCTGATGGGAAGGAGGGAAGGGCTGTGATGTGAAGGGGGAACTCCACATAGTTTTTCTTTTGCTTTTTACCATGTCGTTCCCACTTCCCAATCCATACCAAACCACCCATCTAGCATTAGATTTTGGCGCGGGGGGACCACATGTCATTTTTTACATTTACATTTTAGACTGGGGTGCCTGCAGAATACTTTTAAAGGGTGCCGTGACTGAAAAAAGTTGAGAAACTCTGGTCTAAGTCAGCGGAAGAAAGAAGCTAAAAAAAAATATGTAACTAGCAATAAATGGTCCAAGAAGTACGAGTTTTTTTTAAAATTTGCAGCCTTCACATTTCTCTCACCACACTTGTCCTTTAAAGTATTAGTCTGAATAACCACAAACAATAAAGAAAACCACACGACACATATTTATGTCTTTTACATCCAATGCACAAAAAAAATTTGGTTACTGTTGAAATAAAGGCGAGTTAGCTATTGAAACATCTGGTCAATCTATGTAAACGAGCAGTATTTGTGCGAGTAAGAATGCCAAAATCTATACACTCCTACATAATAAGTCACAGCTAACGGGGAGCTACCATCAAAATGTCTTATAGGGCTTTTGTTTACTTTTGAACTGTTGCTCTCCCCATACAAGTCTATGGCAATGCAAAAGCAGCTGAAGCAGGTCAAATGCAGGTTAACAACACTGAAATGAATTCTGGATACTCTCAGAAGAGTCTCAAACGCATGCCAAAGGGCGCTGCATTTGGCCACTGAAGCCTGTTGGCACAGGCCCTAAAATGCTTGTGGCAAAGAACAGAAGGATGGTGGCACCCACTCACCTTAGCAGCGGAAAGCTCCTGGGTAAGTTCCTGGATCTTCTGTTGGTGTTGTAAAAGCAGCTCTTGCACAGCGGCCAGTGTGGTCTGGAGTTGGGTTACTGGAGGACAAAACAGCAAATAGAGAATAAATGGCGACGGTCTGGGCAAGGGTGTCTCAGACACCAGTGTTCTCACAGTGACAGTGAAGTCACATACATTATAGCAAATAAAACAAAAAACATTTGCCCAAATCCACAAACGTGCCACAGAAATTCAGCAGTCATTTGTTTTTCCACAATAAAAGTTCATTTATTAATGGAGCACTGTAATTCCAGTACATGCGCTTTCAGGGGGCCGCACAGGGCCCCCTACATTCTGAGCCTGATGAGGGGGACCCTGTGCAGCCCCGAAAGCGCTTGTACTGGAATGACAGTACTCCATTAATAAATGGACTTTTGTTGATGTCACTTAAATGGTGTGCTGGTGAAATCCTTTTGAAAACTTGTATATCTTCATGGCGCCATCCGTGGTCACTACGAGCACCAACCAGGATTTCAAGGAACATCTTATACCGGTAAGGAGTGCAGCAAGACCCCTATACACTGAGTGGCCAGTTTATTATGACCACCTGACGTGTGTAGGCAAATTAGCTATAATTTGGCGCTGAAGTTGCTAGAGGGCCAGACCATTATAAATAGGGAAGCAGGTTCTACGACAGTAGAAGTGATTTGTTTCTGAAGATACGGGGAAACAACGCGATGTAACAGCCTTTGAACGTGGGATGATTGTTGGCGCTCGGAGCCATGGAGCGAGTATCAGCAAAACAGCAGAATTCGTTACATGTTCAAGAGGGGCTCATTGTTAAAGTGTTTAAAGACCGGACTGTCAGCCGAAAATCTGGGTCTGAACGTGGGAATTGTGGCCGTCAGCGACTAGTCAATGTTAGGGCAGAACGGGGGAGGGGCAAGACTGATACAAGACAACAGAAGGGCAACAGTGCCGTGTCAGATTCCTCGCATCACCTTTCATCATCTCGTGAAATCACGAGGCGGCCCAACCAAGTACTGATGGGGGGGGGTCATAATAATCTGGCCACTCAGTGTATATTATTTGTGTTTCACATTGTCGCAGACCCTGATTTGTTGAGCGCAAAACAAGCGGTGCTTTAAAAGGGACACTAACACCTTGTCCATCTAGAGCAAAATGATAGTCCACCCTCCAGTGGTCACCAGTGTAAAATATCTGGTGCTTCCAGGTATGGGGGAGCATGTGACCACCTGCCTTGATGCAGTGCTTGGGCCTAGAGGCCAATCGCTTTCCCACAGTAGGATCCAAATGTATGTTACACAAGATGTACTAAGATGTTACATTAGAATAGAAAGGGGGAGTGACTGTGGGAGACAATGCATTCATATATTTTGGCACTTAAAGTGACTCGGTCAGGATGAGACTAAAGGAGCAGCCACTTCTGAGGCCACCACTGTAAAACAACTGGTGCTTCTAAGTATGGGGGAGCTTGTGTCCTCCCTCCCATGATGCCGAGCTTCGGCCTAGAGGCCAATCACTTCCACACAATAGGATCCTAATATATTTTGCATAAGATGTACTAAGATTTCAGGTTAGAATTGCAAAAGGAAGTGACTGCAGCAACTGTCACTTCAGAAGTTACTGTTACTTCATGCTCTAAGTATGGGGGCGCATGTGTTCTCCTCCCATGATGCAGTGCTTAGGCCTAGAGGCCGATCACTTCCACACAGTAGGATCCTAATGCATCATGCAAAAGATGCACTAAGACTTCAGATTAGAATTGCAAAAGGAAGGGACTGCAGCAACGGTCACTTCAGCAGTCGTTTTTATTGTTATCGCCTATGGTCATAAAGGTTTCATTCACCAGTGTGTAGGGGCTGTGGCCCTTGAGAACAGGAGGTGTGTTGAAACCAGTCTAGCACCATGTGTGGCAGGGGCATGCTTGGCTTTGTAGTGCCTCCCAGGCTTCACAGCTACAGGTTGGGCAGCATTAGTGTACTACAGCTCCTCTCCATCTCTCTCTCTCCCCGCCAGCCCGGGGATTTATGTTCTTCCCATCTAATCTCTCCCCTCCCCTCTCATCTGTGGGATTTGCAATGTATCACTGTGGCGGAGGGCTGACTGGATTGAGAAGTATAGCCATGTGTGTCCCTTATCACAGACAACCATTTATCAAGCAGTTTATCTCCCTGTATCTCCTGCACTGCCTCTGTTTTATCCATCTATCCTCGGCTGTCATCTGTGTGACAGAGGCCGCCAGGGGGGCCTGACAAGACACCGAGACAAGCAGGGCAGTGATCAGGGGAACCGGTGCTGTGTGGAAAGCACGGTAACCCCTCGGCTCTATACAAAAGAAAGATAGTCCCTTAGGATTCGACAGCCTTCCAGTCACCGCAGGCTGGCTAAAATCACAGAACACACAATCACACACCCTCCTTGTCATGGGGCTGGTCACAAATCTACCTACAATAACATTTTAAGGCGAAATGAAGACATTCCTTTGTACATTCTTTGGGTTTGGCTACCTCGGTTACACAATTGCAGAAAAATGGAAGGTAGATTCAAAGGATAAAATACGTTTATTTTTAGAAAAAAATTATTCGGGGTGGATCTGATTACTCAGAACACAATGTTTTAATTGTTATGTCTAAGTGTGTCATAAATATTTCACAACGTAGCCGTGGAGCAACTTTTAGGAAGCAAGTAAAAATTGGTCATTCAAGAAGCACCGTGACCTAAAAAAGTTTCTCTCCAGCTTAAACCTTTTTTTTTTGGATAGATCAGGGAAGGGAAGTTAGAATCCCTGTTTGTCTTTATTTTTTTGCCATCTGTGGCCCCCATTCAGGAGATCTTCCCCCACTTCCTGTCCCAGGGACAATGTTACCAAGGAGACAGGAAGTTAGAGGAAATGTTTCTAATAGGAGATACAGTGACAATGAAAGCACTTTGTTTTATTAGTACGGTGGGAAAAGGTTAGGGGACCTTCAATAGTTTTTATATTTCGATTGTTTCTGAACTGTAGATTTTCGCTCACTTCCTGCCGCAGCAACAGAGTACAAAAATCCTTCTTGTCCAGTAAAAGACACAGGAGTTCAGATACAGTCGGGACAGCCAAAATCAGCGCAACTGAGGGGTGGGAAAGACAATAAGAACCAGTAACAGGCCTCACAAAGAGGGCCAGGGACCGCCAGCAGATACAGTCGGGACATCCAAAATCAGCCCAACTGAGGGGTGGGAAAGATTCTAACAACCACTAACAGGTCTCACAAAGAGGGCCGGGGACCGCCAGCAGATACAGTCAGGACATCCAAAATCAGCCCAACTGATTCGTGGGAAAGACAACAACAACCACTAACAGGTCTTACAAAGAGGGTCGGGGAGCGCCAACAGACACAGTCAGGACATCCAAAATCAGTCCAACTGAGAGATGGGTAACACAATAACAACCATCAACAGGCCTCACATAGAGGGTCGGGGACCACCACCAGCCCATTAGCCACCATAAGGACCAACACCTGAATCTGAAATGGATAAGGTGGAACCCACTTCCAGACTGGGAAACACGACCAAGGGACGATGCGGAGAATCAACCTGATGCTCCAGACCAGGACAGAGAAAGTCACCTCCAGCGTGAGATGACTCCACACAGAAGGAACTTATTATTATAATACAGGATTTATATGGCGCCAACAGTTTGCGCAGCGCTTTACAATATAAGGAAGACATTACAATCACAATACAATGCAAGACAAGATGGTAAGGAGGGCCCTGCCCCTGAGGGCTTACAATCTAAAAGGGAGAGGGAAGTGATGCTTGAGGAGGTAGCTGTGTAGGAATGAATTGTTTGAGAACGTTGAGTGGTTAGGTTGAGGTTTGTTTGCCCGAAGAAGGGACAACATGGTTCCGAAACGTCGGAACACAACATCTGACACAACTATGGTCAATAAAGAAGATTGTCAAAGAATTTAATTGGAGTGCAAGTGACTTTCTACCGATTGCATTCAACACAGAAGGAAACGTCAAACACGAGCCAGCGAAAAGTTAATCAACCAGAACCCACCAAAATCAAGTAGAACAACAAATTCCCAGATAAGGAACACAGACCTACAATCTGATGTGGTCAACAGAAAACACTGCGGACTAGCACAAGGAACCCGGAGGGAACCTAGTACAAAAAATGAAGTCCAGGAACTGAATTGAAAGGCTAGTATAAAATTGGTTAGACTTTTCACAGCAGAGCTGAAGAAACTACGTCCATCCTCCTAGGACACTAAAGAAAAAAACTGACGCATGCTGGGTAGGGGTAATAATGTGGGCTGGTTTACACTTGTTCTGTTCGTCAGTGTCCAGTCCTCCTGTGGGTGGCAGTATAACCTGACTGCATCTCAACTCCTGTGTACCTCAATGGACAAGAAAGAAAAAAAAAAAAAAGAAGAGAGAGCTCTACATTTGCTCCCAAAGCTGGTGGCAGGAAGAGCTGTCCCCATTCGCACCCTTTCAAAGCAGCTGTTTTATTACCTCTACCAAGCAGATCTTTTTCAGACAACCATAAACTGACTATAGCTGCCCAAGGACAGGCGGCATCTGTATGACACGGCAGGTGGCCAAAACGGGACGCCTGCTCTTACTAGAGATTAGAAAACCTCCATAATTTCTTATTTTAATGTATACTTCAATGTTTTTCTTTTTCTTAGTTTGTAGCGGAATACTTCTTCATTGTTTACATTATTACGCCGCATCTCTCAACGCAATTAATTATCCGACGCGTCTACAAACCCAGGGCCCGTTTCTGTAGGTCTCGCTGCCAGTGTCTTGCCATGCCTTGGAAGGCATGGCAGAGGCTGTAATGCGGCACAGACTATTCCCACATCTTGACACATGTGCGCACACCTTGCTGTCACACCGAGGAGTCTGAAGCCAAAACCTCCCATTACACTAAAGGGCTGTCACTCCAGTCCCCTTATTAATATTCCAAGGTTGGGATCCTTTCCGTAAAAACATAATTAATTGAGGCCGCAGCGACAGTAAACAAGCAATTTTAAATTAAACCGAAATGACGGCGTCTTCATTTGCAAATGTGAACAGATTTTGTGAGCAGATAAATGAAGTCACCATGTCTATGAGGGTGTGTGTGAAAGGGAAGGGGGGGGGGTGCGCCTGGTGTGCGCGCAAAGCTGGGATGGAGTCGTTAATCGTTACCTGTCTGCGTGACGCTGCCACTCATCTCCGAGACGCTGGACTCGATCCGCTGCAGCTGCTTGCGGTTCTCCTTGCTGCCGATGATTAGCGGAAGCAGGTATCTCTAGAAGAGGCAATGACAGCAACATAAATATGTAGATGTAAATTACAGGCTTGCTTTTAAAGAAGAATTCTGATCTAATAAAAAAAAATAACTGCAAGGTATTGTTTTATAATGGGGGGGTTGTGTACTACCTACAGAAAACTGATACATTACATGTACATTAAATTTAATCTAGTGTGAGTTCTAGGTTGTCCACCGCAACCAGATTCCAGAGAGCTCCTCACATGTGCGGTGGCTGGGTCTGTACCGTGCAACCTTCTTTCTATTCGCATCCAAATTCAGTCCGAGGCAGATTTAAATGTCATGTTTGGCTGTTAGGAACCTATTAGCAGTTTCAGAAAAGAGCTGGTCGCAGGTGTGTTTGGGAACACCTTTCCCACAATACAAAAAAGGTCTACAAAAGGGGTTCCCAGAACACCAGACTGGTAATAAGAGGGAGTGGCCTGGTTTATTTGTGCTATGTCTGGATGAAAAACTATAACCCTGAGTACAGCAGGCTTAGTTTCCAGCAGGCATTTAAGTGCCGGACTTTGGTGTTTCCCTAATAGAACTCGTCTTTAAAGAAGATTTCTGGAAAGAACTGCTGTGTGTGTATCCAACACAAACTAATCCTAATGTCATCATTTGATTACCTCCTGTTTATGATGCTCTGAGCCTCCGGGAGATACATGTGCATGAATTTTAATTTTAGCTCAGAGATTCAACCACCGAATCTTAGCTTTGCCTGCTTTGGTCCTTTACGATCTATGCTGTCAATCAGCCTTTCCTGGTCCCCCCCCGTCAACACGCTAATGCTTTTTTTAAATAAAATACTTCCATTTCATATCTTAATTTACACACAATTACATGCTCACTGGGCCTGTCCACTTTTCTATGCAATGCAGGCAGATCATGGCTGGTTGGAGGGGTCAGCAGGATGCTGTTCATAGATATTTGAAAACATCACAGCACCCTGCCTCATTACTCCTCTCAAGAGCCCTCAGACCTGATACTGAGGGCTCTTGAGAATGCCTTGATGGGTAGGTGACAGCCTGGAGAAGTAGGCATTCCTAGGCAGCTTATAAATGCATGCAGACTGTCCCACATAAGATGCTATGCTTCCATGATTGAAAGAACTGAACTCCAATGAATGAAAGGCTCAGGCTAGGGACATGCAGGCTGGGGAAGGAGGAGCGACATTGCTGGAGGCAGGCTCTATCTGACTTGCTGCAGCTTCTTATGAACACTGAGAGTAGCTCACAGTGTTGCAGTGAAATCAGAGGAAGCAATTTCAGGCCAGAAGAAGAGTCGGTACAACTGTGCAAGACTGAAAGGGAGGCCGGAGGTCAGATATGAGACTGAAGGGGAGGCCTGAGGTCAGGTAAAAAACTGAAGAGAAGGCCGGAGGTCAGATATGAGACTGAAGAGAAGGACGGAGGTCAGATATGAGACTGAAGAGAAGGACGGAGGTCAGATATGAGACTGAAGGGAAGGACGGAGGTCAGATATGAGACTGAAGGGAAGGCTGGAGGTCAGATATGAGACTGAAGGGAAGGATGGAGGTCAGATATGAGACTGAAGGGAAGGATGGAGGTCAGATATGAGACTGAAGGGAAGGACGGAGGTCAGATATGAGACTGAAGGGAAGGACGGAGGTCAGATATGAGACTGAAGGGAAGGCTGGAGGTCAGATATGAGACTGAAGGGAAGGATGGAGGTCAGATATGAGACTGAAGGGAAGGATGGAGGGCAGATATGAGACTGAAGGGAAGGACGGAGGTCAGATATGAGACTGAAGGGAAGGCTGGAGGTCAGATATGAGACTGAAGGGAAGGATGGAGGTCAGATATGAGACTGAAGGGAAGGATGGAGGTCAGATATGAGACTGAAGAGAAGGACGGAGGTCAGATATGAGATTGAAGGGAAGGACGGAGGTCAGATATGAGACTGAAGGGAAGGCTGGAGGTCAGATATGAGACTGAAGGGAAGGATGGAGGTCAGATATGAGACTGAAGGGAAGGATGGAGGTCAGATATGAGACTGAAGGGAAGGATGGAGGTCAGATATGAGACTGAAGGGAAGGAAGGAGATCATATAGAAGACCGAAGGGGAGGACGGAGGTCAGATATGAGACTGAAGGGGAGGACGGAGGTCAGATAGAAGACTGAAGGGAAGGTTGAAGGTCAGATATAAGACTGAAGGGAAGGACGGAGATCCGATATAAGACTGAAGGGAAGGCTGGAGGTCAGATAGAAGACTGAAGGGAAGGACGGAGGTCAGATAGAAGACTGAAGGGAAGGACGGAGGTCAGATAGAAGACTGAAGGGAAGGACGGAGGTCAGATAGAAGACTGAAGGGGAGGACGGAGGTCAGATAGAAGACTGAAGGGAAGGACGGAGGTCAGATAGAAGACTGAAGGGAAGGCTGGTGGTCAGATATGAGACTGAAGGGGAGGTTAGAGTCCCGCTTTAACATAGATCTAAGCCCACTTTTTTTCCCCCCAGTTTTGGATAAAGGAGAAACGGTTTAAAACATCTTTTAGTTTTTGTTTTTTTGTAGACTTGTAGTTGTCCCATTAGGGAGATTTCCCTTCGCTTTCTGTCCCATATACAAAACAGGATATGAAAAGTAGACATGTAACCCAGCAAAACATTTGTTTCTTTTTGGATCCATTTCGTTTTTATCTCTTTAGTTTTTCGGATCCGAAATTTGATTCAACGGCCAAAAAGACCCATCTGATTGGCCACAGAACAGTCACATGTCCGAATTACTTACATTTTGATTGAAATTCGGGAATGGACTTTCGTTAAACGAGCATTCGGATAAGTTCGCATTCGGACGTGTTAGAATTCGGATGCAAAGCCATTCCAAACTAAATTAAATTTACATGTCTAACGAAAAGAAATCTCTCGAGGAAATCCCTCCAGAATTAGGGAAATCCTCCCTCCTCTCAAAAGTTGGATTTTCCATTAGGAGAAAAGGACAACAATAAAAACCTGACACGGTTGCTCGCCCTTCCCCACTGTATCCAAAACTAAGATTTTCGAGCTCTTGATACTCTTTTAGTACAGCAAACAAAACGGCCAACCAGAATTTGCTTTGGTAGTCAGACCATTACAAGATGGGTCCTTTGGTTGTTAGGGGTCATGGCACCTGATACAATTTTGATCTGAATAAGGCCAATAGTCCACGAGGAAGTCCAGCACTGGGATTAAACGGGGTGTACAGGGAATAATCTCCGGCCTGGTAAGTGTGTTACTAACTGAGCTGCGATTTTAGAATTGCAAATAGGCCATATTGTTAACAGCTTTCCAAAATTGTTTGATGGGTACGCTAAACAGTTTGTTATAATAACATTTTGCTGGTTTTAATTAATGTTAATTCATTTTTATTGTATGCAGTCACAATAACTTGGTATTAAGCCACGCACGCTCGATGCCAAACCTCAACTGAGGATTCTTATTGAGAGAATGACTCGCGAGCAGAATTATCAGAAATAGAACCAAATTACGGAAGACTGAAAGTGGCCGTTCGTGCAACGTTCCTGATCTGCATATGTCCTGCGCTGGCCAGCAGAATACGGGACTTCTGTTGGTCTTTCCTAAACACTAATAACAAGACTACCGGAAAAGTTTGTTTCTGTGCAGAAATAGATTTCAACAAGTTTATAGCTGGTGCTGACTGTCGAGAAAAGAGAACAGAAAATATAAGTGGACATGTGCAGCCAATACACAATTTATACAAAGAGTATCACTACATTTGCTTTGTGCATTTTAATGCGTGAAAGCATTCTGCTAAAATAATTCAACTGCTTACAAACAAACCTGCTGGCTGCAGTTGACATTGGGCCTCACACGGAGATGGACACTGTGACAGCTAAAGCCGGTAGGCTGCAGCTGTCACTGGGGATTAGAGTGTGTAAAGAAATGATTGACAACATTTAGAAATTTGATCAAGAATATATTTCTATTTTTATATTTTTTTGTTGTCCATTTGTCAGCTTACACCAAAAAACACACGCAGGGTATTTATTAAAACCATGTACAAAATAAAAGCCGCATATATCATTATTTATTACAGGTATTTATATTATTTATACGGCACCCACAATTTATGCAGTGCCTTGCAAGGCAGAAGTCTTGTCCTGCCTTTCAGAGTAGTGACAGAGTCGTTTACTAGTCTACCCCTCAGCCCACTTATACTCATCATGCCCACTAACCCCAGCCACTGTTCCTCTACAGTCTGGATATTTGCAGTGGCTCCAACATAGCAAAAGAGCGGCAGGGGAGGGTGGCAAGGGCAAGTATAAGTGGGTCGGGATGGGCTAATGAGGGACTTAGGGCAAAGTGACAGATTTCCCTGAATTCAGCAGAGACATCTTGAACCTTGATTCTCCAAGAGAAATAAGGCCACTGGGATGCTCCATCCATGCAGGTTGTGTCCTGGTTGGGATTCATATCGGGTTCCCTAATATTGCCAAGGCAGAAGTGCTAACCACTAAGCCACAGTGTCCTTAAAAAAACAGTGTAAAACTATTCGGGTAGGCAAGTTAGTCAGAGTTATTGTCAGAATAGTATTAACAGGTCACCGGCACACACACAGATGAATTCATGTCTCTTCGATATGTTTATGAAAAATGTCACGGCATGTCATTAGAAGCTGAAGCTAGCGTTTTGGGAACCTCGCAGGGACCCTTCATCAGAGCGACACGCTAGCTTCAGCTTCTAATGACATGCTGTGTCATATCGTAGAGATATTGAATTCATCAGTGTGTGTGCCGGTGACCTGTTGAGACTATTCTGAGCTTTGCACGGCGCCATCTGTGTGATCACCATAAGCACCACCACCATCGGAAGGTTGCGGACCATAAGGAGTGCGGGTGGTTCTTGGAAACAAGAGTTATTGTCACGGTAAATGGCCTATACTGATAAATGTGGTCTGGGCATGTAGCCTTCAATGACCTCTATTCATGAAGTGAGTTTAAAAAAACAAAAACATACAATAGTAGCTCCCAGATCGCTAGGCCCACGGATTTTCTTAAATATCATACTTCCTCCCAGAAACTTCCCTTAAAAATGGCCTATCTTCTCCAGCCACTTCAGTTGCAGTTTGCAAATTTTCTTCGAGACTACAGGTACACTTTATTCTGCTGATTTATTCTAACTTACTGCAGGAAAACATGAAAAACCTGTGATTTTTCTCAAGAGAACTAATGGCAGCAAAAGAAGTAGAGTAATAATATACATGATTAATCACATATTTTGGGTGTAGCTTCCATAATGGATTGCGCAATAACTGGGATAAACAATAGCTGTTTCGACAAACTACGTTATATAAGCACTGAGACACACCATGGTGGAGAGGTCAGACGTAAGCTTCTTGAATTGGGTCCCCCTCTACAATGAGTTATTGGTGCATTGTTGGTTGTTCCATGAATCACACAATACCATATTAATGACCAGTCATCAATAAACTAAGTGGGGATTGCTGCTTCTTTCACTAAAAGAATCTATATAGGCATGATGAAAAGTAACCCCCAAATCTCAGACTCCCCTTCTAGATGATGTTCTTGTGGTGAGAAAAAAGCTTTTATTACTTCCTGTGACATCATCACCCAGATTGAAAAATGTTTGCAGTGGCAGCTGCTGGGAGGTCAGTACCTATTGATGTAGGCACGTCACCCCCCCCCCCCCCCAACGA